GCTAATAAGTCTGGCAAACTAACTCCCAACTGGGAGGGACCCTACCGAATCTATGAAGAGGTCAGGGACGGTACCTACCGTCTGGAAACACCAGACGGCCAACCGTTGCCTCGAACCTGGAATGTAGATAATCTTAAGAAATATTTCTTTTGAATGATGTAAATAGTCGAGGGCTACTTAATAAAAGTTTGATGTTTCATTCAATTCTGTACTAAGAGGGGCATGCCAACTGACAAACAGTCGGCTACTCTCCATGTTTAATTTTCATTTTTACCTAAGAGGGGCATGCCTACTGACAAACAGTCGGCTACTCTCCATGTTTAATTTTTACCTAAGAGGGGCATGCCTACTAACAAACAGTCGGCTACTCTCCATTTTTAATTTTTACTTAAGAGGGGCATGCCGCTTGTTCCACACAACCGGTTACTCTCCCAGAACACAGTTCACCAAGAACTATCAAAGGCTCATGGCTAAAATGATCAGACCAGGCGCCAAGACAACCGATCCAAATATAAATTCAATTCGACCTGTCCCAACATTATAGCAGGCGTCCGACGGCATCCATCCGGATGAAATTCGTCGCAGAGAGCAGCTCCCTTTTGGGTGGAACATTGTTCTATAAAATCATTACACGGCACCTATACGACTGTCTAACCAAGACAACCACGTAGCCGTTTCCCAGGCAAGGATACCTCTCACTTAACTGACTAATCAGGTCAAACAAGTGTTCGCAGTAACCACCCGTGTCAACCAACCGACTGAACTACTTGGGATAAGAATAGTTGGTATCTTATGAGTTAATAGCCAACAAACATTGGCGAATAAAGGGGAACAACCGGTACCCACCGCTTGATACCTCTACTACTCAGTCACTTGGCGACTAGGTAACAATTATGTTAACTTAGTCACTCAAAAAAAAAATTTAGTATGAAGCTAAAAAAGTGTTCATACAGCGCCTGTTCACACTAGATTAAAAGTGGCGGGGAACAGTCGGCCTGGACCGACTAGAGTCTCTAGCTTAAAAAACAAAGAAACAAATAAGGCAGGTAGGAAACCACCTTCCTACTTGGTTGAAGGAAATCCATTCTTTAAAGTGGCCAACTGATCGCTTAGCCTGGAAACAGACAACCAGTCGTCCAGGGGCATAGATGGCGTGACTAAATATCTCGTACCTGTCCGCAACTATCGGCCATGCAAAACAGTCGGTATAGTGTGCAATTGGATATCAGAATATTCGATACTTAAACAAATTTGAAGCAAAACAAAAATGAAATATTTTGGCATAAAAAGAAGCCGATCATTAAGGACCAGCCAAATATTCAGAACCCCGGCCCCCTGGCCGGGTAAATAGAAACAAACGGCACGCAGGCCGTGAAAAGAAGACATAACGCTTAAGAAGGGGGCATATCTTCAATATTAGCAGCTGCCGCCTCGTCAGCACTTTTTTTGCTGGACTCGGCTTCAGCTGCATCCTTCTTCGATGCATTACCCCCAAGCGGCACAAGCGCCACTACCGGCTCCTCCTCCTCCAACGCCTCGTCCTCAGCAGCCGCCAGGATCTCTTGATTATATCTATCAGAACACTGGCGGTACGTTTTTTCCCAGGAGGAATAGTCGGCATTGGGGAAGAGGCGGCCCCAGGTCATGCGCTGGATTTGAGCAGAGTCTTCCATCATCTCCCGGACCAGCTCTTTCTTTTCTTGCTCGGCCTTTTCCGAGAGCTCCTGAGTAAGACTCTTCTCCTGGGTCACCAAGCGTTCCTTTACGTGCGCCAAGGATTTCTCCAAGGTGTCGTATGAGGACATTTTTTGGCGAAGAGGTCTCAGCTCGGCCTTGAGATTGTTGATGGTCGCCTCCAGCTCGCTATTTTTCTTCTGGGCCGCCTCTAACTGAGCCCGGATGGGAGAAGTAGCCTGCGCCTGATAATAAAGAATGTCAATTGTCAGAACTTCATTTTGGGCAATTTGAAACATTGCCTTATCACAGTCAGAGGCGGCCATAGCTTTTGCAGCCTTTACCTCTTTGTTCTTCCTGTCAAACGGCTTGCGGAGGCCGTTCACTCGGAGCAGGGCCTAAGTAAAAAGGGAACAGGCGTCAATTTCCAAACAAAAACAGGCGTCCTGGAATTCAAATAACCAAAAATATGCTAAGTATACCTCAGCAAGGACCCCTGCAATCCCGTCTAGGTCAAGGGTGCCGACACCCCTGACCGCCTCCCTTTCAGCTGGAGGAACGACCTTGATCATAGACTTGGCCACCTCGACCAAGTCAGGCTCCTGAGGGCCGGCTGCATCAACCATAAACAAACGAGTTAGACCTAGTAAAGAAAGGAACAAGTCTAAATTCACAAAGACAGCTTCATACTTCTAGACGGCCCAATTGGAGTTTTAGAAGGAGTGGCTGGCTGTTTCTCAGCTGCCGCATGTTTCCTGGCAGAACCAGGAGAGCTCGCAACAGTCGTCCTCCGGGTCTTGGAGTCCGGATGTTGGGAAGAAGAAGCTCTTGGAGCGCCCGTCTAAAAAAAAAAAAAACAACACAAAAACAAACACTCGGTCAGTATATGCATAAACCCAACTCCAAAAAGAGAGTGAAAGTTTCGAAGCTCACCAAGGGTGCCCCCTTGTTGGGGGAGTCGGTTGAAGACTGTTGCATGATGGAGGCCCGCAACATGGCCGCCGCAATCTTGGAGGCGGTAATTTTGCTCATGGCGTCCGCTGCAAAAACAAATAGTAAAGTTAAATAAAAGTCATAACAATGACGCATGAAAAACAGAGTATTCGACAGGCCGGCTACCTCTTGAGCACCGACTGCTGAGGCCACAGGCGGCCAAAAAGTACTCGTCGTAGAGCCATTTGAAGCTCGGGACGCAGTGCAGGGGTACTTGCTCTCGTACCCCTGAAGTAGAGTTCACCCTCGACTCTACTTTGAAGAGTCCTTTATCTAGGATCTCTTTCTTAGCCTTGGGGGGAACAGGCGGCATGATGCGGCCGCCTGCAAGAAAGGGCGGATTCCTGTTCCACCTGTTGAAGCGTTTGTTCAGCTCTGTGTCTGAACTCTCAATGATAAGGAAGGTGCTCCGCCAGTCCTTCCATTTGTTTGCTTTACCTCTTGTCATGAGGTAGCCCCTGTGGCTCGTCAATTGATACCAGCCGGTACCGCCTGCCTTAGGGGTCCGGCTGAGGTAGTTAATGTGGGCGAAAGCCTCGAAGTTTGGCTCCACCCCGTGCAGTTCGCACCCGACCACATAGCCGAGTACGTTGACCTAGGAGTTCGGGGCTAACTGCCATAACCCCAACTCATACCCATCCAAGATCCGCTGAACAGCCGGATGTAGCGGGAAGCGCAGCCCAGCCTTGATGGCCGCCTCGTAGCAGCCAAAGCAGGCGCCATCATAACTAGTACCAGCCGGCCAGACGACTGTGTCTTCTGGATCCGGCACGAACACTAAAAAGCCGGGGCCCATTGTGTGGTTCGCAATAAAGCTCCCCACTTTCTCTTGCATGGCCGTTATCCGGCCCCGTGGGACAGTGCAGTAGTAGGGGGTATTTTGCTCTCGGTAAGAGGCGGATGGCTCCGCCCAATTGTCCCCCTTCTCAACTGCGTGAGAAAGCCTCGCCTCTTGTAGGCGACTGTTTTTCTCTTCTGTGTCCAGAGAAGCATGACCAGAAGAGCTAGATTCGGATTCGTCCTCTGACGAGTCCGAAGAAGACGACTCCTCCCCTCTCCCAGAGGGGCCCGCCTCCTCTCCTTTAAAAGGAGCAGGAGAGAATGTAGACTTGTCAACTGTAAAATTGGAAGGGGTCACTTTGACTCCTCCCTCAGAACTGCCGGCTTTCAAGCCGCTTTGGTTCACTACCACATCTGGCGCCTCGTCAGATGTTTCACTAATCGGCACCCTGTGGGAGGAGCCGTCTGAGTTCGAAATCTTAGCAGTTCTTTTTGTTCTGGCCATCATGTTCTGCATAGACACAAAGACAGTCGGACTTTGTATAAAGGGCAAAGATGGGTCCGGAAAAGGGCAGGCGGCACTCCTAGTCCTAGATTTAGCCGTCCCCGGTGACCGGCTGATCACTAATCTAGGTCGTGTCGTGTGCTTCCGTGGTGTCATTTCAAAAAAGAATAAAATAAAGAGAAAATTAAAAGTAAGAGAACCGACGGTTACCTGAACGAGTGACGTTGATGGAGTTCTGAAAATCCTTTGCAGTCGGCTTGTCAGAGCAGGCGGTAGGCAGAAAGGGTCCAAAATGTCAGAGCAAGTTCAGGGGTCCGAATGTTCTCTCACAAAGTTCTCAAGTGTGAAAATGACCGAAGTCAACACTCCCTTATATAGGCGAAGTGAGAAGGCGAAGGGTCACCTCCAGAATTCAAAATTTTCGCGGGAGAATCTCTCGGCCTTTCGCCGAGTGACACCTGTAGCAGGCCGTCGCCTGTTACAGGGCGACACCTGTCACAGGTAACACGTGACCAGTCACGTGCCACCTGTGAGGGGCAAATGATTAGGGGATTTTGCTCCCACCAATCGGAATGCGCCACGTGGGCTAATCAGGTCCTGCCAAGTGTCCCCCAGTTGGAACTGTCAGGGCTTGCCACGTGGCACACGCTTATTCGTCCACCCTGGACCTATTATGTCATGACACATGGCATAATCCATGCCTAATGGAGAAACCGGCCACCCAGGCCCAACTTTCGAGGGAAGCCCAATCAGCCCAAGGTTAACCTAAACCTAGGGTTGGCACGTTTCCCAAGGTTATAAATACCTCCCTTAATCCTCCTTTAATTTCCGCATTAATTACTCCTTAATCAAGTACTAACTTGACCGTCTGAGGCGGATCTCCAATCATCCGGAGCATCCGTTTGTTTTGCAGGTACTGGCGTCCGGTTCCAGTCTCGGAATTGTAACTCTCCCGCAGGACATCAGAAAACCCCGAAACACCTCTTATTATTAATTATCTTTGTGCATTTCATGTCTGATATTATGTATAACACATTCATTGTTTCAGTATGTTGTTGTTAATATAAATTGTTATGAATTATTAGATAATGTGGGGAGTTCTTCACAAATATATGAGCAGCGTAAAAGTAAACGTAAGTAGTTTTTTGCACAAACTTCAGCTGCTAAAAAAAACCTGTACAGAATATGTGCAGCTTTATTTCTATGATGGCCAGCACAAAGTCCAGAATCGAGTAAATTGTTTTCCTGAAGTACGGGAAGATATTATTCGTATATTAATGAAGATTACTGAGATCAATCCTTATGTAAGATTATTCAGATCGTTGAGGGAAATAGAGATTGATGAAAACACGCAGATAGTCTTATCTCAAAGTACTGTTTTGGATCAACGGGTTTACAATGCACCTGTCTCAGATGAAGTTGTTGTAGTGTGGTCAGATGGTGCGTCTTCAAGTCAAATAAGCACTCCACATATTCTTGTGTATGGAAATTCTGCTCAAACTCATTGTATTTGTCACTATTATGGGTGCTATGATCTACTACAATATCCACTGTTATTCCCCCATGGTGAATGTGGATGGACTCAAAATCTTAAGAAACAGGTTTGTGCTGGGAAAAAGCATACAAATCAAGTTCCAGATCCTATAACTTCTTGCGTAGTTCATACCGTGCAAAATTTTTTGGATGAAGAAGAATCACGTAAGTGTTTGTTATATACGTATATTATATTTTATTTTAAAACATTTATTTGTGATATACATTTTTAGTAGTTTCTTTTTTCTTCTGCAAAATGTAGGTGTTGTTAAACACATAACAAGAGCTGATAAATATATTTCTCCAAGAGAATACTATGCCTACAAATTACAAATTAGGCCCAAAAATATGCTCCTAAGAGGTGGAAGATGTTTTCAGCAGTTTGTTGTTGACATGTATGTCAAGATAGAGAATTTAAGGCTCGATTATCTACGAAACAATCAAGATATAATTAGAGCTGATCTTTATCAAGGTATTCTTGATAGTGTGTTAGGTGGAGAGACAGATGCTTCGAAGATTGGACATCTTGTTGTTTTGCCTCCATCGTTCCTTGGGTGTCCTAGAGATCTTAAACGTCGATATCTAAATGCAATGGAATTAGTTCAGAGGTATGGCAAGCCGGATTTGTTTATTACCATGACATGCAATGCAAATTGGCCGAAAATACAGTGTTAACTACAACCTGGAGAGAAAGCACAAGATAGGCCAGATATAGTGGCTCGGATATTCCGTGCTAAATTATTGGCGTTATAAAAAAGATTAAGAAAGAAAAACTCTTTGGTGAAGTGGCAGTAATGATCTATGTTGTTGAGTTCCAAAAGAGGGCATTACCACATGCACATTTTTTAATAATACTGAAACGTGACTTCAAAATAAGAGGCCCAAAAGAGTATGATAAATTTGTTTGTGCTGAAATCTCGTTGTTTGATAATCCTCATCTTCGTAAAGTTGTCTTAACTCATATGATGCACGGGCCTTGCGGCAAGCTGAATCCAAAATGTCCTTGCATGAAAATGGATGGGAGAAAGTTAGTCTGTAAAAATGGATATCCAAAAGACTACAATTTTGAAACAGCAAACAACAAAGATGGATATCCTATATATAGGAGAAGACAAATAGGTGAAAAGGTGAAAATCAGATGAGCCGAGCTAGATAACCAATGGGTAGTACCTTACAATCCATATTTACTACTCATGTTTGACTGTCATATTAATGTTGAGGTATGCTCAACTATCAAAGCAGTAAAATATTTGTACAAATACGTTTACAAAGGGCACGATCGAATATCATTCAAGATATCTGCCACAAATGATAATAAAGTTGATGAAATTGAACAATTTGAATCTGGCAGGTTGGTATTGATTATTTAGTTTGCATTATTAGATTTTGTTTCGTATCATTTCTAATATTTCATTGGAACTGAGTGATTTTAAATTGTTAGGTGGGTATCCCCATGTGAAGGAGTATGGCGAATATTTGGGTTTGATTTGTATGAAATCTATCCTCCTGTTATGCCGTTGCCTATACATCTTCCGTATATGCAATCCATTGCTGTAAGACCACATGAAAATCTCAAACGGGTAGTGAGAGATCCTAAGCGTTCACGTACACCATTGACAGAATACTTTGCAATGAATTTTACAATTAATGGTGGCATTAACCTTTTATATGGTGAATTTCCAGAGCACTACAGATGGGATGCAAGTACAAAGGAATGGAAAGGCAGGAAAAATACACTAACTGTTGTTGGGAGGATATCGTTTGTCTTACCTGCTGAAGGTGAACGTTATTTTCTATGACTTTTACTGCTTAATATACGAAATTCAACATCTTTTTCAGACTTATGTACGGTTGATAATTATGTCTGTGCTACATTTCAAGAAACTGCTAAACGACTTGGTCTTTTAGAAGACGATGATGCTGCATCTATTTGCCTGGCTGAAGCTGCAGAGGTACAGTTACCAGGTGCTTTTAGACGACTATTTGCAACAGTTCTGATATTTTTTCAACCGAGCGATCCATCTGCTTTATGGGAAAAATATTACACATCGTTGTCAGAAGATTTTAGGTATCAATTCAAGGATTGTACCGAAAAAATAAAACAGCTGACTGTCAGTTTGTTAGAACAACATCTTGAATCAATTGGTAAATCACTAAAAACTTTTGGGCTAGATCATCTAAGTTATAATGTCAGTGATGAGTTTAGAAAAACGAGAGATATAGCAGATGCTTTAAATACAGCTATTCTTGAAGAATTCATAAATTCAAAAGAACGTTTGAATCCAGCTCAATTGAAAGAATTTGATTACATAATGAAACACGTCAATGAGGGAAAAGGAGGTGATTTTTTTTATTGATGGACCAGGTGGCACGGGCAAGATATTTTTATACAATTGTTTATATGTAGAAATTCGAATAATGAATAAAATTGTGTTGCCAACTGCATTATCTGGAATAGCAGCATCAAATCTCCCTTCAGGCAGAACAGCTTATTCAAGATTTAAAATACCAGTTGATCATAAGAGTTGTTTTACATGTGATGTGCCAAAACAAAGTAGTTTAGCACATTTAATAAAAGAGACAACTTTGATTATCTGGGATGAGGCTTCTATGACCAACAAGGCGAATTTACAGGCCCTTGATTTGCTGTTACAAGATATCTGTGAAAATACAACACTTTTTGGTGGTAAGCTTATCATTTTTGGCGGAGATTTTAGACAGGTTCTACCAATTGTACCTCAAAAGACCTTAAGACAAGCTGTTGAATCAAGCATTATCGCTTCATATATCTGGCCATCTCTGAAAAGATTTAAATTAACAGAAAATCAGCGAGCTCGTGAAGATCTTGCATTCTGTTCGTTTTTGTTATCTCTTGGCAACGGTGAATAACAAACAAATGAGTGTGGTTATGTACAACTGCCTGATGGAATGATTCGACATTGGGATATGGAAAAGGATCCCATTTTGGAGATTATAAAAGCAACATTTCCAGAAGTTGAGAAAGCAACAAGTACATCAGATATCTTTATAGATATGGCAATTTTAACTCCGATGAATGACGATGTGGATATGGTGAATTCAGTTTTGATTAACCAGTTTCCAGGAGAAAAAGTGGTTTATAAAAGTTTTGATGTAATGCTCAATGATACATGCAGTATCTATCCGATGGAGTTTAATAAACTTTGCCCAGGGGGGATGAGTTCCCATGAGCTTGTCCTTAAAAAGGATTGTCCAGTGCTTTTGTTATGCAATATAATGCCTTCTGAAGGGCTCTGTAATGGAACGAGATTAATTGTAAGACTTTTATGCCCAACATTATTGTCTGTGAAATTTCTGTTGGACAATACAAAGGTAAAACTGTTTTTGTGCATCGAGCAACTTTACGCCCTCCAGCAAATAGCAGGTATCCATTTAATTTTGAAAGGAAATAATTTCCAATTAAATTATGTTTTTCCCTGACGATTAATAAATCACAAGGGCAGACGTTGAATCAAGTTTTGATATATCTTCCTCGGCCGTGTTTTTCACATGGTCAACTGTATGTGGCTTTATCTCGGGCTAAAAGCTGAAAATGTTGTTGTGTATACTATGAAACCACCTTAAGGGTATCACATAAACTCAGTTAGAAATGTAGTATCTTTTGATATTTTGAAGTATTCGCAAATAATTTAGCATTAAACATTTAAGTTGTTGTTTAGTGTTATTGATACAATGTTTTTTGTTCTAATACCTTATATAAATAATGTACAATTATAACAAGAGATTACACTATACATTGTATTATTGCATATGCTTTTGATCATCACAACAAAGTTGTATTATATTTAAAACATTATTGCTTTGAAGTTTGAGAGCATACCTTTTAATAATTTCAAATTTATTTAGCAATAATATATTATAATTGATATACATTATGATTTAAAAATTTTTTAGGTTCAACATAATTGGGCATGGTAAAAGTTATTTGAAACCAAAAATTTGAAATCCCAATGCCATGTCAATGACATTTGATCCCAATGCCGTGTTTAGGCATAAGGCCAAATATTTATTTTGGCGAAATAGGTTTAGCCTATATTTGGTTTAGTCTATGTTTTTTGCACTTTGTTAAGCACTTCTCTAAATATGAGAAGTCACCTACACTAACAACCGAATACCAATATGTGCGTAATGTTTGCCAACCAACTCTGTATCATATGTTTCTTGCACTCTGTCAAGCACTTTTTTTCCAACACCTTTCCCTTAAAAACGTTTTGGGTTTAACCTAATTTGGCATGGCACCTACACTAACAAAAGAATACCAAAGTGTGCACAATGTTTGCCAACCAACTCTGTATCATATGTTTCTTGCACTCTATCGAACACTTTTCTTCCGACACTTTTCCCTTCAAAACGTTTTAGGTTTAACGTAATTTGGCATGGTAAAAGAAATTTGAAATCAAAGACCTTTAATTCCAATGTCGTATCAACGACATTTGATCCCAATGTCTATACATGCACAATGTTTGCCATTGAACTCAGTATCATATTTACTTTGGCGATTTTAATTTAGCCTATATTTGATTTAGTATATGTTTCTTGCACTTGTCAAGCGCTTTTCTAAATATGTGAAGTCACGTACACTTACGAAATTTTTTTAAAATGTGTATAATGTTTGCTAACCAACTTCGTATAACTTTTTTCTTACGCTTTGTGAAGCAATTTCCTTCCGACAACTTTCCCTTTGAAGCGCTTTGGGTTTAACATAATTTGTCATGGTAAAAGACATTTGAAATTAAAGATCTTTAATCCCAATGTCGTATCAATGGCATTTGATCCTAATGACTATATATGCACAATGTTTACCAACCAACTCAGTATCATATGTTTCTTGCACTTTGTTAAGCACTTTTATTGTGTCACTTTTCCCTTCAAAGCATTTTAGTTCAATATAATTAGGCGTGGTAAAGGACATTTGAAACCAATGACCTTTAATTCCAATGTTGGGCAAACCAGTGCCGTGTCTAGGCATAAGGCCACATATTTACTTTGGCAAATTTGGTTTAGTCTATATTTGATTAAGCCTGTGTTTTTTGCATTTTGTCAAGAACTTTTCTTCCGACACCTTTCCCTTCAAAACGTTTTAGGTTTAACCTAAATAGGCATGGTAAAAGACATTTTACACCAAAGACCTTTAATCACAGTGCCTTGTCAATGACATCTGATTCCAATGTCTAAATATGCACAATGTTTCCCAATGTCGTGTCAATGACATTTGATCCCAATGTCGTTTCTATGCATGAGGCCACATATTTAATTTGGCAAATTTGGTTTACCCTATATTTGATTTAGCCTATGTTGCTTGCACTTTGTCAATCACTTTTCTTCTGATACCTTTTCTTTTAAAACGTATTTTGTTCAATATAATTAAGCCTGGTTAAAGACATTTGAAACCAAAGACTTTTGATCCTAATGCCGTGTTAAAAGCATCTGAACAAAACAACTACAAACAAACTCTGTGTCGTATGTTTTTTGTACTCTGTTAGACATTTTTCTTCCGATTCATTGTTCTTTAATATTAACAACCAAAATATAATTTGCCTGATTACCAAATACCACAAATGATTGCACTTTGAAATTGATGGAATTTGGGTAATTTCAACGGTTACTACCGTCATTAATGAGAGTAATAAAGGAGTTGAGAGGTTTAGTGGGTAGTTATTTTTAGGAAAATGTGTTTAATAATAGTTTAGTGGGAATCATGGCAGTTTGTTAAGTATTAAAGTTCCGAAATTTAGAAGCCCATAGTTAAACACTTCCTCCGCCATTCACTAATCACTTTTTCGCAAACACAACCCTAGAAATCGCAAATTTCCTTCCCAAAATTGAATTTCCATCCCAAATTCCTGTTAATCCAAGGTTTACTTCAGAATCCGAGACTCCAACGTACAAGACCGGCGAATTTCGAGCTAGGTATAGGTAATTACCGATGAAATTCTTCCGGATTTGTTTAAATTTTTGTAATTTCCATTTTGGTTCGATTTTCCTTCGAAAATATGGTTAGAGACCGGGATTTGGGCAAAAGGCCCATTACTGCTGAAGGAGAAGAAGCTGAGAGGCCACAAGTTCTTTCTCCAGGTCATCGGCGTAAACAGCCGCTTGGTCGGATGCCACCTCTTAGCCACACTGCTACAGTTCCCAGTACGGAGGAAAGGGAACCTACAAGCGATTCTCCGATATCGGTTGTACCATTGGCATCAGCTAGACCATTTGCCTCTGTGACGTTCAGGGAGTGGGAAGAGCCTACTTCATTTGCAAGTGGTGCTGTGCATGGGCCTCGCTGTCTGCTAGAAGGTGCTAAAGAATGGTACAACCCTACTGAAAATTCGGGACTTGCGACTACTGCTCCGTACAAATGGTGGATTGTACAGAATGCCCGCCATCGCTTTGTCGAGCAAATCGAAATTTTTACGGGATTTATGAACAGGATGGGTACTGGTGCCGAATGCCAGTTTTAGAAGATAGAATCCACAGACCGCCGCCTAGGTATGTTGGAGTTTACATCAGGCAAATACAGTTAGGGCTGAGATTTCCTCTTCATCACTTCGTGACGAAAGTGTTGAATGGATACAACATTGCGTTGTGCCAGCTAATAACCCCGTTCAGCATCCGGCGGGTAATGACATTTTATGGGTTGCCCTTTTTTATGGGTTTGACCCTAGCATACACGTATTTCGGCAATTACATAATTTGGTGTCGAACAGACAGTCTTCCGAACCTCATGGCCCTGGATGGTGGCGCATTGAAGCAAAACGAACTACTTTGACCACTTGGCCGAATGATACCTCGGATAAAGATTAGAGGGGTCAATGGATTTGGGTGAGGGCTCCGTCTGAAGAAGAGCATGTTAACTATTTTAGAGGGCCGAGACATTTGAGGATGCCTGATCCAAAAATGTCTGCTATCGGTCCTGATGAATTTTCGATCGAAGATAATGAGCTGCTAAAACTCTTTGCAAAAGTGGCTACGGGAAGACGGGGGCGAGAAAAATACATTCCGGCCACTTGGCTCCCTTTCTATCACTATATCTTCCAAGAGAAGATATTAGCTGCCGTCGGCCTCAGCCGAAAATACCAAGATGGTAAGAATCTCGGTTGGGGCCGAAGGCTCGTTCTTGTTTTTTTATGTATTTGTTGAAATTGTTGTTGTTTGTTTTGTTATTTTTTTTTTTTTGACTTCTTTCATTTTGGATTTTCAGTGCTGTATTAGACGAACTGCGGCTTGAACTACAGACATCTGGGCATCAACACCGAAAGAAAAGTGACCAAGAGAAATCCTCAAATCACTCCTCCTTCCGATAGAGCCCTTACGCTGCGCGTGTCTCAGCTAGACATAGTCAGTTCAATTGAATACTCCAAGTAGAAGCCTTGGTACTTGAAACGTGACCCATTTTTTCTTTTGGGTCCTGAAAAGCAAATTCTAGCCACTGCTGCTACTGTTGAAGCCGGTATTTCTGAGTCTAACTCTGAGGCCGAGGACGATGCCAGTTTTGAAGAGGACGACTTGGTGAAAACTTCGGTGAGCACAAGCTTATCCTTTGCTCTGTTTTGCTTCAAATTTCTTCTAAGTATGAAACTTCAGTACATATGTTTCCCAATTTGTAAGCATGATGTTTCGGCTATGCCATGCATGTTGCATTTTTTTTTCCTAATTTGAGAGAACTTTGCTAAGTATAGTATTTCGGATGCATGTTGTTTGCTGACTGCTCAGTCTGTGAGAACTTAAACAGCTATAAAACTTTGGTAGCCTTTCTCTTATGACTTGCTTGATTTGCGTAATTATAGTAGTCTTCCTATCTAAGTATAAAACTTCAGCACGTACGTTTCCAAAGTTATAAGCATGTTGTTTCGGCTTTGCTATGCATGTTGCATGTATCTTTCCTAAGTTGAAAGAACTTTGCTAAGTATAGTATTTTGGGTGCATGTTGTTTGCTGACTGCTCAACCTGTGAGAACTTAAACAACTATAGAATTTTGGTAGCCTTTCTCTTATGACTTGCTTGATATGCGTTTCTCTTGTGAGAACTTAAACAACTATAGAACTTTGGTAGTCTTCCTATCTATACATTGTTTTTTTTTTTTTTTGGATAATGCTAATACGTAATTCTCCACTCTCTTATGACTTGCTTGATTTGCGTAATTTTAGTAATCTTCCTAACTAGGTATGAAACTTCAGCACGTACGTTTCCCAATTTATAAGCATGTTGTTTCGGCTTCGCTATGCATGTCGCATATATCTTTCCTAATTTGAAAGAACTTTGCTAAGTATAGTCTTTCGGGTGCATATTGTTTGCTTACTGCTCAGCCTGTGAGAACTTAAACAACTATAGAATTTTGGTAGCCTTTCTCTTATGACTTGCTTGGTATGCCTTTCTCTTGTGAGAAGTTAAAAAACTATAAAACTATAGAACTTTGGTAGTCTTCCTATCTATACATTATTTTTGTTTTTTTTTTGGATTATGTTGATACGTACTTCTACACCCTCTGAATCTTTTGTCGCAGAGTGACGAAGCAAAAGTAGAGGCACGACAAAAAGAGTCTTCATGGGATATCTCTTCTTCAGACAACAAAGTCGAAGGGATGGCTAGGAAGAGAAAGCCTAGGGTCGTTGTCAACCTAGGCCAATTTCCCTTAGAAGATACTTCTCCATCGCCGAAAAGGTCTCGGCGAAACGATGGTCCAGGGGAAGTGTCCATGGAGAAAACTCCATATCTTTCTTCTGCTCGGAACCCAGATGAAGAGGTCCAGCAGAAACCTCCTTCTCCGATGCCTCGAGACGATGGTCCAGGGAAAGTGTCCAAGGAGAAAATTCCAAATCCTTCTTCAGCTCGGAACCCAGATGAAGAGGTCCAGTAGAAACCTCCTTCTCCGATGCCTCATCTGTCTCAACATTCGACAACCCCTTTTGACGAAGAAATTCAAAGGCAGGCTGATGCCTTCATCACAAACATTGGGGACGACGATGTGTTGCTTCTAGAAGTGAGGCCAGAAAATTTTAAAGACGCGATTAGTGTGTCAACGAGCCTCGACAGGTAGATGTGCCAACTGCTTCTGCTGCAGACTCATTTAAGACTTTTCGGTCTAATGAGATGGGGTTTGAGTCTGTCCCACTTGTGATTGTCCCCGATGCTGTGAGGGACAATTTGATGGAAAGCCGGAATTCGGCTGTTGAGTTTTTTGGGGATTTGTCTGGACTCTCGAAGTTGGAAAAAGCCAGAATCTGGTCAAATCGGGCTACTGCTGGAGCGTCCGGACCCTGAAAGTACCAGACCCCGTTGCTGAGAATTTTAAACTGTTGATGCAGGTAATTTGCTCCGACTGCTTTTTTAATAAGGTTTCCCAAGTCCATAAGTTCGGCTGTCTTTATTCAGAGAACAAAATTTCCCTTTTTGTTTTTGTTTCAGCTGACTCTTGTACTCCCAATGTGTAGGCCATTCAGAACCATGTGATTACTGCTGGTTTGATCGAAGAGCTGAAAAAAAAAAAGCTGAAACAGCAGAGCATCGAGTCCATTTGGCTGAGCTTGAGAAAAAACGTGCTGAAGATGCGACAACGAATCTGAGATTGAGCAAGGTGAGGAGTTGATTCGCACTTATGGAGCTGAGGACATTCCTACCTTAAAGGTTCGGATTCAGGAGAAGTTGCAGCAAGAAGCAGCTGCCCGAGAGCAACTGGCCAAGGATCTGAATGAAAAAAATTCCCTCATGAGGAAAGAAGCTGAGCAGAAACAGTCTGAACTTGAGGCTGAGATCAATCGTCTGAAGGACTTAGTCTCAGCTAAAGAACTAAGTTTGATAGAAGCTCAAAGCCAACTTTCCCTCATCACGGAAAAAAATGAGCTGAAGTAGTCTGAACTTGAGGCTGAGATCAAACGTCTGAAGAACTCAATCTCAGCTAAAGACCTGAATTTATCAGAGATTCAAAGCCAACTTCAAATTGAGAGGGATGCTACTGCTGAGACCAGGGCTGACTTGGAAAGTGCGAGGAAGCTGCTGAAGACCCAGATTTACACCTAGGAACAACACAACGAGGGTTATGAAAACGGGTTCAAAGTTGCTCGCCGCCTTGCGATTCATGCTGAACCAAATATCAACTGGGATTTGGCTGAGGAATGGTCTATGGACCTCCCCACCCAAACATGCAGCGTCCTCATCCTAATGAGCTTGCTTTACTTACTCGGCTAGCCGCAAAGGAAGCTTTGGCCTCAGATGATGATGATGAGGAAGAGAAAGCTGAGACTCAGGTTCTGGATGCTGCCAGGACTTCTATGTCTTCTGTTGCTGACACTGAAAAGGTTCCTGATGCTCATGTGGCAGACGCTAATGCATAGGAAATCGGGCAATCGTCCGCAGAATCTTGCGGCTCTACATGTGCTTGAATGCTGACACATCGTTTCTGCTCTTTTGCCTTTTTTTCAGCTTGCCATCTGTACAAAATACTCTTTATTAGTTTTTGTCTAAGTTTGTACTAAGTTTGGCAGCTGTGTGTCCGCGTGTGGGCGGCTGCCGGTTTAGAGTTCTCTTTATTGTTTTATTCTCCAAACTATGATTTCTTTTGATTGGAATTATCTCAAGTATACAAATCCGGTTTGGGAGTTTTTTAAAATGAATGTCGATTGGTTTTTCATAGCTTCCCTCTGTTTTCGCCTAATTGCTTTAGTTTTACTTTTTGTTTGTTTTCTTGGACTTTCTCAACATGTTGCCAAGTACATAGCTTCAGCCTAGAATTTTGGTTTTTCATACCTTAACTTTGGTCGTACTATACTATTGAAAACATCTACTCTGAATCTTAATTCTAGAAGTTCCATATTTTCCTTCGCCCAATCAAGCTGGTTTGGTTTTTGTAGATTATGAATTTAGTATTAGTAATTAATTTAATTCATTTCAAAAGTATGAAGTTATAAAATTAATAAATGTTAGGATTGATCGAGCTACTGAAAGATGTTTACGTTTTATTATTTAGCAACAAGCACATAAAGTTATATTGCTAATCCAGCTCTGATTGCACTTTTTTGCATAATGAGTATGAAGGAGATCATGTAGTAAATTTTAGTTAATGGGAGATCATGTCGTAAATTTTAAAAGTAATTACTGTAAATTAATTTCATTATATTATAATATTTCTGTACATAGTTAAAGCTTCGGACATGGCAGAGTTCTTGAAGCTTTGCTACGACATTTCAACCTTGTATCGTTGCGGCTTGGACCTCGGCTAAGAGACTCGGTCTCGGCAACACATAGGATTTGGCGTCCCGGATTAGCTTTGGCTGGGACTCGGTAATTAGACGTTGTGAGCTGAAACACCTTCGGCAAGTCTCGGCAAAGATGTTTGAGCCATCCAGAATTACTTTTTAGACGGTACTGACTACTTAAACGCTTTCGACAAACCTCAGCAAATGACAAGGTTTCATCATCTAATTTTAGTTAATGGAAAAGGTAAAATGGTATCTCCAAAGTATGGGGTAGATCATATAGTAAATTTTAAAAGTAATTATTATGAATTAATATTATTATATTATAATATTTTTGTATACAGTTGAAGCTTCGGCCATAATATCCGAACTACTATGGGGGGTCGAGTTTCTGTTATGCACGTACTATTCAGTGACTGTGCCTTGAACCGTTGAGGCTTGGACCTCGGTCTCGGCAACACCTTGGATCCGACAGCTCTTAAAAGCTGTGGCTGAGCCTCGGCAATCAGAGGTAGTGTGCTAAAACACCTTCGGCAAATCTCGGCAATGGTGTTTGCGTCAACCAAAGCTACTTTTTAGCCAGTACTGACTACTAAGACACCTTCGGCAAACCTATGCAATTGACAAGGTGTAATCATCTTTCTTCTTTTTTGTTTTCTGGGTTTAATTTAATTTGAGTAATCAAATTTCCCCTCTTTTTTAATAATAATTCTAAATTTTAAAAGGGTGGTTCAGTTGATTGCGAAAACAGGTTTGTGTTTATCAATTTACGGTATCAAATCATTTGATGGCGGCTTTGTATTACCTTTTGAAGGTGCTCCCACTTATACAGTATATGATTTTTTTGGGTTCAGTAATTTACAACCAAAAAAAAAAAAAGAAAAATAAACAAAAAAAACTGGGTATTGGGATTAAATGACTTGAACTCCAATTAAGTTGAAATATTTCACCTTGGATTCGGCAGCTCGAACTAGCTTTGGCTGGGCCTCGGCAATCAGAGGTTGTGAGCTAAAACAATTTCAGCAAACCTCAGCAATGGTGTTTGAGTCGTACAAAACTACTTTTTAGATAGTGCTGACTACTAAAACGCTTTCGGCAAATCTCGGTAATTGACAAGGTTTTATCATCTAATTTTAGTTAATGCAAAAGGTAAAATGGTATCTCTAAAGTATGAGGGAGATCATGTAGTAAATTTTAAAAGTAATTATTGTGAATTAATTTTATTATATTATAATATTTCTGTATATAGTTGAAGCTTCGGCCATGGCATTAGCTTGAAGCTTTGTTCCGGCCTTTCAACCTTGAATCGTTGCAGCTTGGACCTCGGCTAAGAGTCTATGTCTCGGCAACACCATTGTTTCGGCGGCTCGAACTAGCTTCGGCTGGGCCTTGGCAAACAGAGGTTATGAGCTGAAACAATTTCAGCAAACCTCGGCAATGGTGTTTGAGCCGTACAAAACTACTTTTTAGACGGTACTGACTACTTAAACGCTTTCGGCAAACCTCAAACTCATTGTATTTGTCACTATTATGGGTGCTATGATCTACTACAATATCCACTGTTATTCCCCCATGGTGAATGTGGATGGACTCAAAATCTTAAGAAACAGGTTTGTGCTGGGAAAAAGCATACAAATCAAGTTCCAGATCCTATAACTTCTTGCGTAGTTCATACCGTGCAAAATTTTTTGGATGAAGAAGAATCACGTAAGTGTTTGTTATATACGTATATTATATTTTATTTTAAAACATTTATTTGTGATATACATTTTTAGTAGTTTCTTTTTTCTTCTGCAAAATGTAGGTGCTGTTAAACACATAACAAGAGCTGATAAATATATTTCTCCAAGAGAATACTATGCCTACAAATTACAAATTAGGCCCAAAAATATGCTCCTAAGAGGTGGAAGATGTTTTCAGCAGTTTGTTGTTGACATGTATGTCAAGATAGAGAATTTAAGGCTCGATTATCTACGAAACAATCAAGATATAATTAGAGCTGATCTTTATCAAGGTATTCTTGATAGTGTGTTAGGTGGAGAGACAGATGCTTCGAAGATTGGACATCTTGTTGTTTTGCCTCCATCGTTCCTTGGGTGTCCTAGAGATCTTAAACGTCGATATCTAAATGCAATGGCATTAGTTCAGAGGTATGGCAAGCCGGATTTGTTTATTACCATGACATGCAATGCAAATTGGCCGAAAATACAGTGTTAACTACAACCTGGAGAGAAAGCACAAGATAGGCCAGATATAGTGGCTCGGATATTCCGTGCTAAATTATTGGCGTTATAAAAAAGATTAAGAAAGAAAAACTCTTTGGTGAAGTGGCAGTAATGATCTATGTTGTTGAGTTCCAAAAGAGGGCATTACCACATGCACATTTTTTAATAATACTGAAACGTGACTTCAAAATAAGAGGCCCAAAAGAGTATGATAAATTTGTTTGTGCTGAAATCTCGTTGTTTGATAATCCTCATCTTCGTAAAGTTGTCTTAACTCATATGATGCACGGGCCTTGCGGCAAGCTGAATCCAAAATGTCCTTGCATGAAAATGGATGGGAGAAAGTTAGTCTGTAAAAATGGATATCCAAAAGACTACAATTTTGAAACAGCAAACAACAAAGATGGATATCCTATATATAGGAGAAGACAAATAGGTGAAAAGGTGAAAATCAGATGAGCCGAGCTAGATAACCAATGGGTAGTACCTTACAATCCATATTTACTACTCATGTTTGACTGTCATATTAATGTTGAGGTATGCTCAACTATCAAAGCAGTAAAATATTTGTACAAATACGTTTACAAAGGGCACGATCGAATATCATTCAAGATATCTGCCACAAATGATAATAAAGTTGATGAAATTGAACAATTTGAATCTGGCAGGTTGGTATTGATTATTTAGTTTGCATTATTAGATTTTGTTTTGTATCATTTCTAATATTTCATTGGAACTGAGTGATTTTAAATTGTTAGGTGGGTATCCCCATGTGAAGGAGTATGGCGAATATTTGGGTTTGATTTGTATGAAATCTATCCTCCTGTTATGCCGTTGCCTATACATCTTCCGTATATGCAATCCATTGCTGTAAGACCACATGAAAATCTCAAACGGGTAGTGAGAGATCCTAAGCGTTCACGTACACCATTGACAGAATACTTTGCAATGAATTTTACAATTAATGGTGGCATTAACCTTTTATATGGTGAATTTCCAGAGCACTACAGATGGGATGCAAGTACAAAGGAATGGAAAGGCAGGAAAAATACACTAACTGTTGTTGGGAGGATATCGTTTGTCTTACCTGCTGAAGGTGAACGTTATTTTCTATGACTTTTACTGCTTAATATACGAAATTCAACATCTTTTTCAGACTTATGTACGGTTGATAATTATGTCTGTGCTACATTTCAAGAAACTGCTAAACGACTTGGTCTTTTAGAAGACGATGATGCTGCATCTATTTGCCTGGCTGAAGCTGCAGAGGTACAGTTACCAGGTGCTTTTAGACGACTATTTGCAACAGTTCTGATATTTTTTCAACCGAGCGATCCATCTGCTTTATGGGAAAAATATTACACATCGTTGTCAGAAGATTTTAGGTATCAATTCAAGGATTGTACCGAAAAAATAAAACAGCTGACTGTCAGTTTGTTAGAACAACATCTTGAATCAATTGGTAAATCACTAAAAACTTTTGGGCTAGATCATCTAAGTTATAATGTCAGTGATGAGTTTAGAAAAACGAGAGATATAGCAGATGCTTTAAATACAGCTATTCTTGAAGAATTCATAAATTCAAAAGAACGTTTGAATCCAGCTCAATTGAAAGAATTTGATTACATAATGAAACACGTCAATGAGGGAAAAGGAGGTGATTTTTTTTATTGATGGACCAGGTGGCACGGGCAAGATATTTTTATACAATTGTTTATATGTAGAAATTCGAATAATGAATAAAATTGTGTTGCCAACTGCATTATCTGGAATAGCAGCATCAAATCTCCCTTCAGGCAGAACAGCTTATTCAAGATTTAAAATACCAGTTGATCATAAGAGTTGTTTTACATGTGATGTGCCAAAACAAAGTAGTTTAGCACATTTAATAAAAGAGACAACTTTGATTATCTGGGATGAGGCTTCTATGACCAACAAGGCGAATTTACAGGCCCTTGATTTGCTGTTACAAGATATCTGTGAAAATACAACACTTTTTGGTGGTAAGCTTATCATTTTTGGCGGAGATTTTAGACAGGTTCTACCAATTGTACCTCAAAAGACCTTAAGACAAGCTGTTGAATCAAGCATTATCGCTTCATATATCTGGCCATCTCTGAAAAGATTTAAATTAACAGAAAATCAGCGAGCTCGTGAAGATCTTGCATTCTGTTCGTTTTTGTTATCTCTTGGCAACGGTGAATAACAAACAAATGAGTGTGGTTATGTACAACTGCCTGATGGAATGATTCGACATTGGGATATGGAAAAGGATCCCATTTTGGAGATTATAAAAGCAACATTTCCAGAAGTTGAGAAAGCAACAAGTACATCAGATATCTTTATAGATATGGCAATTTTAACTCCGATGAATGACGATGTGGATATGGTGAATTCAGTTTTGATTAACCAGTTTCCAGGAGAAAAAGTGGTTTATAAAAGTTTTGATGTAATGCTCAATGATACATGCAGTATCTATCCGATGGAGTTTAATAAACTTTGCCCAGGGGGGATGAGTTCCCATGAGCTTGTCCTTAAAAAGGATTGTCCAGTGCTTTTGTTATGCAATATAATGCCTTCTGAAGGGCTCTGTAATGGAACGAGATTAATTGTAAGACTTTTATGCCCAACATTATTGTCTGTGAAATTTCTGTTGGACAATACAAAGGTAAAACTGTTTTTGTGCATCGAGCAACTTTACGCCCTCCAGCAAATAGCAGGTATCCATTTAATTTTGAAAGGAAATAATTTCCAATTAAATTATGTTTTTCCCTGACGATTAATAAATCACAAGGGCAGACGTTGAATCAAGTTTTGATATATCTTCCTCGGCCGTGTTTTTCACATGGTCAACTGTATGTGGCTTTATCTCGGGCTAAAAGCTGAAAATGTTGTTGTGTATACTATGAAACCACCTTAAGGGTATCACATAAACTCAGTTAGAAATGTAGTATCTTTTGATATTTTGAAGTATTCGCAAATAATTTAGCATTAAACATTTAAGTTGTTGTTTAGTGTTATTGATACAATGTTTTTTGTTCTAATACCTTATATAAATAATGTACAATTATAACAAGAGATTACACTATACATTGTATTATTGCATATGCTTTTGATCATCACAACAAAGTTGTATTATATTTAAAACATTATTGCTTTGAAGTTTGAGAGCATACCTTTTAATAATTTCAAATTTATTTAGCAATAATATATTATAATTGATATACATTATGATTTAAAAATTTTTTAGGTTCAACATAATTGGGCATGGTAAAAGTTATTTGAAACCAAAAATTTGAAATCCCAATGCCATGTCAATGACATTTGATCCCAATGCCGTGTTTAGGCATAAGGCCAAATATTTATTTTGGCGAAATAGGTTTAGCCTATATTTGGTTTAGTCTATGTTTTTTGCACTTTGTTAAGCACTTCTCTAAATATGAGAAGTCACCTACACTAACAACCGAATACCAATATGTGCGTAATGTTTGCCAACCAACTCTGTATCATATGTTTCTTGCACTCTGTCAAGCACTTTTTTTCCAACACCTTTCCCTTAAAAACGTTTTGGGTTTAACCTAATTTGGCATGGCACCTACACTAACAAAAGAATACCAAAGTGTGCACAATGTTTGCCAACCAACTCTGTATCATATGTTTCTTGCACTCTATCGAACACTTTTCTTCCGACACTTTTCCCTTCAAAACGTTTTAGGTTTAACGTAATTTGGCATGGTAAAAGAAATTTGAAATCAAAGACCTTTAATTCCAATGTCGTATCAACGACATTTGATCCCAATGTCTATACATGCACAATGTTTGCCATTGAACTCAGTATCATATTTACTTTGGCGATTTTAATTTAGCCTATATTTGATTTAGTATATGTTTCTTGCACTTGTCAAGCGCTTTTCTAAATATGTGAAGTCACGTACACTTACGAAATTTTTTTAAAATGTGTATAATGTTTGCTAACCAACTTCGTATAACTTTTTTCTTACGCTTTGTGAAGCAATTTCCTTCCGACAACTTTCCCTTTGAAGCGCTTTGGGTTTAACATAATTTGTCATGGTAAAAGACATTTGAAATTAAAGATCTTTAATCCCAATGTCGTATCAATGGCATTTGATCCTAATGACTATATATGCACAATGTTTACCAACCAACTCAGTATCATATGTTTCTTGCACTTTGTTAAGCACTTTTATTGTGTCACTTTTCCCTTCAAAGCATTTTAGTTCAATATAATTAGGCGTGGTAAAGGACATTTGAAACCAATGACCTTTAATTCCAATGTTGGGCAAACCAGTGCCGTGTCTAGGCATAAGGCCACATATTTACTTTGGCAAATTTGGTTTAGTCTATATTTGATTAAGCCTGTGTTTTTTGCATTTTGTCAAGAACTTTTCTTCCGACACCTTTCCCTTCAAAACGTTTTAGGTTTAACCTAAATAGGCATGGTAAAAGACATTTTACACCAAAGACCTTTAATCACAGTGCCTTGTCAATGACATCTGATTCCAATGTCTAAATATGCACAATGTTTCCCAATGTCGTGTCAATGACATTTGATCCCAATGTCGTTTCTATGCATGAGGCCACATATTTAATTTGGCAAATTTGGTTTACCCTATATTTGATTTAGCCTATGTTGCTTGCACTTTGTCAATCACTTTTCTTCTGATACCTTTTCTTTTAAAACGTATTTTGTTCAATATAATTAAGCCTGGTTAAAGACATTTGAAACCAAAGACTTTTGATCCTAATGCCGTGTTAAAAGCATCTGAACAAAACAACTACAAACAAACTCTGTGTCGTATGTTTTTTGTACTCTGTTAGACATTTTTCTTCCGATTCATTGTTCTTTAATATTAACAACCAAAATATAATTTGCCTGATTACCAAATACCACAAATGATTGCACTTTGAAATTGATGGAATTTGGGTAATTTCAACGGTTACTACCGTCATTAATGAGAGTAATAAAGGAGTTGAGAGGTTTAGTGGGTAGTTATTTTTAGGAAAATGTGTTTAATAATAGTTTAGTGGGAATCATGGCAGTTTGTTAACTATTAAAGTTCCGAAATTTAGAAGCCCATAGTTAAACACTTCCTCCGCCATTCACTAATCACTTTTTCGCAAACACAACCCTAGAAATCGCAAATTTCCTTCCCAAAATTGAATTTCCATCCCAAATTCCTGTTAATCCAAGGTTTACTTTTGAATCCGAGACTCCAACGTACAAGACCGACGAATTTCGAGCTAGGTATAGGTAATTACCGATGAAATTCTTCCGGATTTGTTTAAATTTTTGTAATTTCCATTTTGGTTCGATTTTCCTTCGAAAATATGGTTAGAGACCAGGATTTGGGCAAAAGGCCCATTACTGCTGAAGGAGAAGAAGCTGAGAGGCCACAAGTTCTTTCTCCAGGTCATCGGCGTAAACAGCCGCTTGGTCGGATGCCACCTCTTAGCCACACTGCTATAGTTCCCAGTACGGAGGAAAGGGAACCTACAAGCGATTCTCCGATATCGGTTGTACCATTGGCATCAGCTAGACCATTTGCCTCTGTGACGTTCAGGGAGTGGGAAGAGCCTACTTCATTTGCAAGTGGTGCTGTGCATGGGCCTCGGTGTCTGCTAGAAGGTGCTAAAGAATGGTACAACCCTACTGAAAATTCGGGACTTGCGACTACTGCTCCGTACAAATGGTGGATTGTACAGAATGCCCGCCATCGCTTTGTCGAGCAAATCGAAATTTTTACGGGATTTATGAACAGGATGGGTACTGGTGCCGAATGCTAGTTTTAGAAGATAGAATCCACAGACCGCCGCCTAGGTATGTTGGAGTTTACATCAGGCAAATACAGTTAGGGCTGAGATTTCCTCTTCATCACTTCGTGACGAAAGTGTTGAATGGATACAACATTGCGTTGTGCCAGCTAATAACCCCGTTCAGCATCCGGCGGGTAATGACATTTTTATGGGTTGCCCTTTTTTATGGGTTTGACCCTAGCATACACGTATTTCGGCAATTACATAATTTGGTGTCGAACAGACAGTCTTCCGAACCTCATGGCCCTGGATGGTGGCGCATTGAAGCAAAACGAACTACTTTGACCACTTGGCCGAATGATACCTCGGATAAAGATTAGAGGGGTCAATGGATTTGGGTGAGGGCTCCGTCTGAAGAAGAGCATGTTAACTATTTTAGAGGGCCGAGACATTTGAGGATGCCTGATCCAAAAATGTCTGCTATCGGTCCTGATGAATTTTCGATCGAAGATAATGAGCTGCTAAAACTCTTTGCAAAAGTGGCTACGGGAAGACGGGGGCGAGAAAAATACATTCCGGCCACTTGGCTCCCTTGCTATCACTATATCTTCCAAGAGAAGATATTAGCTGCCGTCGGCCTCAGCCGAAAATACCAAGATGGTAAGAATCTCGGTTGGGGCCGAAGGCTCGTTCTTGTTTTTTTGTGTATTTGTTGAAATTTTTGTTGTTTGTTTTGTTATTTTTTTTTTTTTGACTTCTTTCATTTTGGATTTTCAGTGCTGTATTAGACGAACTGCGGCTTGAACTACAGACATCTGGGCATCAACACCGAAAGAAAAGTGACCAAGAGAAATCCTCAAATCACTCCTCCTTCCGATAGAGCCCTTACGCTGCGCGTGTCTCAGCTAGACATAGTCAGTTCAATTGAATACTCCAAGTAGAAGCCTTGGTACTTGAAACGTGACCCATTTTTTCTTTTGGGTCCTGAAAAGCAAATTCTAGCCACTGCTGCTACTGTTGAAGCCGGTATTTCTGAGTCTAACTCTGAGGCCGAGGACGATGCCAGTTTTGAAGAGGACGACTTGGTGAAAACTTCGGTGAGCACAAGCTTATCCTTTGCTCTGTTTTGCTTCAAATTTCTTCTAAGTATGAAACTTCAGTACATATGTTTCCCAATTTGTAAGCATGATGTTTCGGCTATGCCATGCATGTTGCATGTATTTTTCCTAATTTGAAAGAACTTTGCTAAGTATAGTATTTCGGATGCATGTTGTTTGCTGACTGCTCAGTCTGTGAGAACTTAAACAGCTATAAAACTTTGGTAGCCTTTCTCTTATGACTTGCTTGATTTGCGTAATTATAGTAGTCTTCCTATCTAAGTATAAAACTTCAGCACGTACGTTTCCAAAGTTATAAGCATGTTGTTTCGGCTTTGCTATGCATGTTGCATGTATCTTTCCTAAGTTGAAAGAACTTTGCTAAGTATAGTATTTTGGGTGCATGTTGTTTGCTGACTGCTTAACCTGTGAGAACTTAAACAACTATAGAATTTTGGTAGCCTTTCTCTTATGACTTGCTTGATATGCGTTTCTCTTGTGAGAACTTAAACAACTATAGAACTTTGGTAGTCTTCCTATCTATACATTGTTTTTTTTTTTTTTTTGGATAATGCTAATACGTAATTCTCCACTCTCTTATGACTTGCTTGATTTGCGTAATTTTAGTAATCTTCCTAACTAGGTATGAAACTTCAGCACGTACGTTTCCCAATTTATAAGCATGTTGTTTCGGCTTCGCTATGCATGTCGCATATATCTTTCCTAATTTGAAAGAACTTTGCTAAGTATAGTCTTTCGGGTGCATATTGTTTGCTTACTGCTCAGCCTGTGAGAACTTAAACAACTATAGAATTTTGGTAGCCTTTCTCTTATGACTTGCTTGGTATGCCTTTCTCTTGTGAGAAGTTAAAAAACTATAAAACTATAGAACTTTGGTAGTCTTCCTATCTATACATTATTTTTGTTTTTTTTTTTGGATTATGTTGATACGTACTTCTACACCCTCTGAATCTTTTGTCGCAGAGTGACGAAGCAAAAGTAGAGGCACGACAAAAAGAGTCTTCATGGGATATCTCTTCTTCAGACAACAAAGTCGAAGGGATGGCTAGGAAGAGAAAGCCTAGGGTCGTTGTCAACCTAGGCCAATTTCCCTTAGAAGATACTTCTCCATCGCCGAAAAGGTCTCGGCGAAACGATGGTCCAGGGGAAGTGTCCATGGAGAAAACTCCATATCTTTCTTCTGCTCGGAACCCAGATGAAGAGGTCCAGCAGAAACCTCCTTCTCCGATGCCTCGAGACGATGGTCCAGGGAAAGTGTCCAAGGAGAAAATTTCAAATCCTTCTTCAGCTCGGAACCCAGATGAAGAGGTCCAGTAGAAACCTCCTTCTCCGATGCCTCATCTGTCTCAACATTCGACAACCCCTTTTGACGAAGAAATTCAAAGGCAGGCTGATGCCTTCATCACAAACATTGGGGACGACGATGTGTTGCTTCTAGAAGTGAGGCCAGAAAATTTTAAAGACGCGATTAGTGTGTCAACGAGCCTCGACAGGTAGATGTGCCAACTGCATCTGCTGCAGACTCATTTAAGACTTTTCGGTCTAATGAGATGGGGTTTGAGTCTGTCCCACTTGTGATTGTCCCCGATGCTGTGAGGGACAATTTGATGGAAAGCCGGAATTCGGCTGTTGAGTTTTTTGGGGATTTGTCTGGACTCTCGAAGTTGGAAAAAGCCAGAATCTGGTCAACTCGGGCTACTGCTGGAGCGTCCGGACCCTGAAAGTACCAGACCCCGTTGCTGAGAATTTTAAACTGCTGATGCAGGTAATTTGCTCCGACTGCTTTTTTAATAAGTTTTCCCAAGTCCATAACTTCGGCTGTCTTTATTCAGAGAACAAAATTTCCCTTTTTGTTTTTGTTTCGGCTGACTCTTGTACTCCCAATGTGTAGGCCATTCAGAACCATGTGATTACTGCTGGTTTGATCGAAGAGCTGAAAAAAAAAAAAGCTGAAACAGCAGAGCATCGAGTCCATTTGGCTGAGCTTGAGAAAAAACGTGCTGAAGATGCGACAACGAATCTGAGATTGAGCAAGGTGAGGAGTTGATTCGCACTTATGGAGCTGAGGACATTCCTACCTTAAAGGTTCGGATTCAGGAGAAGTTGCAGCAAGAAGCAGCTGCCCGAGAGCAACTGGCCAAGGATCTGAATGAAAAAAATTCCCTCATCAGGAAAGAAGCTGAGCAGAAACAGTCTGAACTTGAGGCTGAGATCAATCGTCTGAAGGACTTAGTCTCAGCTAAAGAACTAAGTTTGATAGAAGCTCAAAGCCAACTTTCCCTCATCACGGAAAAAAATGAGCTGAAGCAGTCTGAACTTGAGGCTGAGATCAAACGTCTGAAGAACTCAATCTCAGCTAAAGACCTGAATTTATCAGAGATTCAAAGCCAACTTCAAATTGAGAGGGATGCTACTGCTGAGACCAGGGCTGACTTGGAAAGTGCGAGGAAGCTGCTGAAGACCCAGATTTACACCTAGGAACAACACAACGAGGGTTATGAAAACGGGTTCAAAGTTGCTCGCCGCCTTGCGATTCATGCTGAACCAAATATCAACTGGGATTTGGCTGAGGAATGGTCTATGGACCTCCCCACCCAAACATGCAGCGTCCTCATCCTAATGAGCTTGCTTTACTTACTCGGCTAGCCGCAAAGGAAGCTTTGGCATCAGATGATGATGATGAGGAAGAGAAAGCTGAGACTCAGGTTCTGGATGCTGCCAGGACTTCTATGTCTTCTGTTGCTGACACTGAAAAGGTTCCTGATGCTCATGTGGCAGACGCTAATGCATAGGAAATCGGGCAATCGTCCGCAGAATCTTGCGGCTCTACATGTGCTTGAATGCTGACACATCGTTTCTGCTCTTTTGCCTTTTTTTCAGCTTGCCATCTGTACAAAATACTCTTTATTAGTTTTTGTCTAAGTTTGTACTAAGTTTGGCAGCTGTGTGTCCGCGTGTGGGCGGCTGCCGGTTTAGAGTTCTCTTTATTGTTTTATTCTCCAAACTATGATTTCTTTTGATTGGAATTATCTCAAGTATACAAATCCGGTTTGGGAGTTTTTTAAAATGAATGTCGATTGGTTTTTCATAGCTTCCCTCTGTTTTCGCCTAATTGCTTTAGTTTTACTTTTTGTTTGTTTTCTTGGACTTTCTCAACATGTTGCCAAGTACATAGCTTCAGCCTAGAATTTTGGTTTTTCATACCTTAACTTTGGTCGTACTATATTATTGAAAACATCTACTCTGAATCTTAATTCTAGAAGTTCCATATTTTCCTTCGCCCAATCAAGCTGGTTTGGTTTTTGTAGATTATGAATTTAGTATTAGTAATTAATTTAATTCATTTCAAAAGTATGAAGTTATAAAATTAATAAATGTTAGGATTGATCGAGCTACTGAAAGATGTTTACGTTTTATTATTTAGCAACAAGCACATAAAGTTATATTGCTAATCCAGCTCTGATTGCACTTTTTTGCATAATGAGTATGAAGGAGATCATGTAGTAAATTTTAGTTAATGGGAGATCATGTCGTAAATTTTAAAAGTAATTACTGTAAATTAATTTCATTATATTATAATATTTCTGTACATAGTTAAAGCTTCGGACATGGCAGAGTTCTTGAAGCTTTGCTACGACATTTCAACCTTGTATCGTTGCGGCTTGGACCTCGGCTAAGAGACTCGGTCTCGGCAACACATAGGATTTGGCGGCCCGGATTAGCTTTGGCTGGGACTCGGTAATTAGACGTTGTGAGCTGAAACACCTTCGGCAAGTCTCGGCAAAGATGTTTGAGCCATCCAGAATTACTTTTTAGACGGTACTGACTACTTAAACGCTTTCGACAAACCTCAGCAAATGACAAGGTTTCATCATCTAATTTTAGTTAATGGAAAAGGTAAAATGGTATCTCCAAAGTATGGGGTAGATCATATAGTAAATTTTAAAAGTAATTATTATGAATTAATATTATTATATTATAATATTTTTGTATACAGTTGAAGCTTCGGCCATAATATCCGAACTACTATGGGGGGCCGAGTTTCTGTTATGCACGTACTATTCAGTGACTGTGCCTTGAACCGTTGAGGCTTGGACCTCGGTCTCGGTAACACCTTGGATCCGACAGCTCTTAAAAGCTGTGGCTGAGCCTCGGCAATCAGAGGTAGTGTGCTAAAACACCTTCGGCAAATCTCGGCAATGGTGTTTGCGTCAACCAAAGCTACTTTTTAGCCAGTACTGACTACTAAGACACCTTCGGGAAACCTATGCAATTGACAAGGTGTAATCATCTTTCTTCTTTTTTGTTTTCTGGGTTTAATTTAATTTGAGTAATCAAATTTCCCCTCTTTTTTAATAATAATTCTAAATTTTAAAAGGGTGGTTCAGTTGATTGCGAAAACAGGTTTGTGTTTATCAATTTACGGTATCAAATCATTTGATGGCGGCTTTGTATTACCTTTTGAAGGTGCTCCCACTTATACAGTATATGATTTTTTTGGGTTCAGTAATTTACAACCAAAAAAAAAAAAAGAAAAATAAACAAAAAAAACTGGGTATTGGGATTAAATGACTTGAACTCCAATTAAGTTGAAATATTTCACCTTGGATTCGGCAGCTCGAACTAGCTTTGGCTGGGCCTCGGCAATCAGAGGTTGTGAGCTAAAACAATTTCAGCAAACCTCAGCAATGGTGTTTGAGTCGTACAAAACTACTTTTTAGATAGTGCTGACTACTAAAACGCTTTCGGCAAATCTCGGTAATTGACAAGGTTTTATCATCTAATTTTAGTTAATGCAAAAGGTAAAATGGTATCTCTAAAGTATGAGGGAGATCATGTAGTAAATTTTAAAAGTAATTATTGTGAATTAATTTTATTATATTATAATATTTCTGTATATAGTTGAAGCTTCGGCCATGGCATTAGCTTGAAGCTTTGTTCCGGCCTTTCAACCTTGAATCGTTGCAGCTTGGACCTCGGCTAAGAGTCTATGTCTCGGCAACACCATTGTTTCGGCGGCTCGAACTAGCTTCGGCTGGGCCTTGGCAAACAGAGGTTATGAGCTGAAACAATTTCAGCAAACCTCGGCAATGGTGTTTGAGCCGTACAAAACTACTTTTTAGACGGTACTGACTACTTAAACGCTTTCGGCAAACCTCAAACTCATTGTATTTGTCACTATTATGGGTGCTATGATCTACTACAATATCCACTGTTATTCCCCCATGGTGAATGTGGATGGACTCAAAATCTTAAGAAACAGGTTTGTGCTGGGAAAAAGCATACAAATCAAGTTCCAGATCCTATAACTTCTTGCGTAGTTCATACCGTGCAAAATTTTTTGGATGAAGAAGAATCACGTAAGTGTTTGTTATATACGTATATTATATTTTATTTTAAAACATTTATTTGTGATATACATTTTTAGTAGTTTCTTTTTTCTTCTGCAAAATGTAGGTGCTGTTAAACACATAACAAGAGCTGATAAATATATTTCTCCAAGAGAATACTATGCCTACAAATTACAAATTAGGCCCAAAAATATGCTCCTAAGAGGTGGAAGATGTTTTCAGCAGTTTGTTGTTGACATGTATGTCAAGATAGAGAATTTAAGGCTCGATTATCTACGAAACAATCAAGATATAATTAGAGCTGATCTTTATCAAGGTATTCTTGATAGTGTGTTAGGTGGAGAGACAGATGCTTCGAAGATTGGACATCTTGTTGTTTTGCCTCCATCGTTCCTTGGGTGTCCTAGAGATCTTAAACGTCGATATCTAAATGCAATGGCATTAGTTCAGAGGTATGGCAAGCCGGATTTGTTTATTACCATGACATGCAATGCAAATTGGCCGAAAAGACAGTGTTAACTACAACCTGGAGAGAAAGCACAAGATAGGCCAGATATAGTGGCTCGGATATTCCGTGCTAAATTATTGGCGTTATAAAAAAGATTAAGAAAGAAAAACTCTTTGGTGAAGTGGCAGTAATGATCTATGTTGTTGAGTTCCAAAAGAGGGCATTACCACATGCACATTTTTTAATAATACTGAAACGTGACTTCAAAATAAGAGGCCCAAAAGAGTATGATAAATTTGTTTGTGCTGAAATCTCGTTGTTTGATAATCCTCATCTTCGTAAAGTTGTCTTAACTCATATGATGCACGGGCCTTGCGGCAAGCTGAATCCAAAATGTCCTTGCATGAAAATGGATGGGAGAAAGTTAGTCTGTAAAAATGGATATCCAAAAGACTACAATTTTGAAACAGCAAACAACAAAGATGGATATCCTATATATAGGAGAAGACAAATAGGTGAAAAGGTGAAAATCAGATGAGCCGAGCTAGATAACCAATGGGTAGTACCTTACAATCCATATTTACTACTCATGTTTGACTGTCATATTAATGTTGAGGTATGCTCAACTATCAAAGCAGTAAAATATTTGTACAAATACGTTTACAAAGGGCACGATCGAATATCATTCAAGATATCTGCCACAAATGATAATAAAGTTGATGAAATTGAACAATTTGAATCTGGCAGGTTGGTATTGATTATTTAGTTTGCATTATTAGATTTTGTTTCGTATCATTTCTAATATTTCATTGGAACTGAGTGATTTTAAATTGTTAGGTGGGTATCCCCATGTGAAGGAGTATGGCGAATATTTGGGTTTGATTTGTATGAAATCTATCCTCCTGTTATGCCGTTGCCTATACATCTTCCGTATATGCAATCCATTGCTGTAAGACCACATGAAAATCTCAAACGGGTAGTGAGAGATCCTAAGCGTTCACGTACACCATTGACAGAATACTTTGCAATGAATTTTACAATTAATGGTGGCATTAACCTTTTATATGGTGAATTTCCAGAGCACTACAGATGGGATGCAAGTACAAAGGAATGGAAAGGCAGGAAAAATACACTAACTGTTGTTGGGAGGATATCGTTTGTCTTACCTGCTGAAGGTGAACGTTATTTTCTATGACTTTTACTGCTTAATATACGAAATTCAACATCTTTTTCAGACTTATGTACGGTTGATAATTATGTCTGTGCTACATTTCAAGAAACTGCTAAACGACTTGGTCTTTTAGAAGACGATGATGCTGCATCTATTTGCCTGGCTGAAGCTGCAGAGGTACAGTTACCAGGTGCTTTTAGACGACTATTTGCAACAGTTCTGATATTTTTTCAACCGAGCGATCCATCTGCTTTATGGGAAAAATATTACACATCGTTGTCAGAAGATTTTAGGTATCAATTCAAGGATTGTACCGAAAAAATAAAACAGCTGACTGTCAGTTTGTTAGAACAACATCTTGAATCAATTGGTAAATCACTAAAAACTTTTGGGCTAGATCATCTAAGTTATAATGTCAGTGATGAGTTTAGAAAAACGAGAGATATAGCAGATGCTTTAAATACAGCTATTCTTGAAGAATTCATAAATTCAAAAGAACGTTTGAATCCAGCTCAATTGAAAGAATTTGATTACATAATGAAACACGTCAATGAGGGAAAAGGAGGTGCTTTTTTTTATTGATGGACCAGGTGGCACGGGAAAGATATTTTTATACAATTGTTTATATGTAGAAATTCGAATAATGAATAAAATTGTGTTGCCAACTGCATTATCTGGAATAGCAGCATCAAATCTCCCTTCAGGCAGAACAGCTTATTCAAGATTTAAAATACCAGTTGATCATAAGAGTTGTTTTACATGTGATGTGCCAAAACAAAGTAGTTTAGCACATTTAATAAAAGAGACAACTTTGATTATCTGGGATGAGGCTTCTATGACCAACAAGGCGAATTTACAGGCCCTTGATTTGCTGTTACAAGATATCTGTGAAAATACAACACTTTTTGGTGGTAAGCTTATCATTTTTGGCGGAGATTTTAGACAGGTTCTACCAATTGTACCTCAAAAGACCTTAAGACAAGCTGTTGAATCAAGCATTATCGCTTCATATATCTGGCCATCTCTGAAAAGATTTAAATTAACAGAAAATCAGCGAGCTCGTGAAGATCTTGCATTCTGTTCGTTTTTGTTATCTCTTGGCAACGGTGAATAACAAACAAATGAGTGTGGTTATGTACAACTGCCTGATGGAATGATTCGACATTGGGATATGGAAAAGGATCCCATTTTGGAGATTATAAAAGCAACATTTCCAGAAGTTGAGAAAGCAACAAGTACATCAGATATCTTTATAGATATGGCAATTTTAACTCCGATGAATGACGATGTGGATATGGTGAATTCAGTTTTGATTAACCAGTTTCCAGGAGAAAAAGTGGTTTATAAAAGTTTTGATGTAATGCTCAATGATACATGCAGTATCTATCCGATGGAGTTTAATAAACTTTGCCCAGGGGGGATGAGTTCCCATGAGCTTGTCCTTAAAAAGGATTGTCCAGTGCTTTTGTTATGCAATATAATGCCTTCTGAAGGGCTCTGTAATGGAACGAGATTGATTTGTAAGACTTTTATGCCCAACATTATTGTCTGTGAAATTTCTGTTGGACAATACAAAGGTAAAACTGATTTTGTGCATCGAGCAACTTTACGCCCTCCAGCAAATAGCAGGTATCCATTTAATTTTGAAAGGAAATAATTTCCAATTAAATTATGTTTTTCCCTGACGATTAATAAATCACAAGGGCAGACGTTGAATCAAGTTTTGATATATCTTCCTCGGCCGTGTTTTTCACATGGTCAACTGTATGTGGCTTTATCTCGGGCTAAAAGCTGAAAATGTTGTTGTGTATACTATGAAACCACCTTAAGGGTATCACATAAACTCAGTTAGAAATGTAGTATCTTTTGATATTTTGATGTATTCGCAAATAATTTAGCATTAAACATTTAAGTTGTTGTTTAGTGTTATTGATACAATGTTTTTTGTTCTAATACCTTATATAAATAATGTACAATTATAACAATAGATTACACTATACATTGTATTATTGCATATGCTTTTGATCATCACAACAAAGTTGTATTATATTTAAAACATTATTGCTTTGAAGTTTGAGAGCATACCTTTTAATAATTTCAAATTTATTTAGCAAAAATATATTATAATTGATATACATTATGATTTCAAAATTTTTTAGGTTCAACATAATTGGGCATGGTAAAAGTTATTTGAAACCAAAAATTTGAAATCCCAATGCCATGTCAATGACATTTGATCCCAATGCCGTGTTTAGGCATAAGGCCAAATATTTATTTTGGCGAAATTGGTTTAGCCTATATTTGGTTTAGTCTATGTTTTTTGCACTTTGTTAAGCACTTCTCTAAATATGAGAAGTCACCTACACTAACAACCGAATACCAATATGTGCGTAATGTTTGCCAACCAACTCTGTATCATATGTTTCTTGCACTCTGTCAAGCACTTTTTTTCCAACACCTTTCCCTTAAAAACGTTTTGGGTTTAACCTAATTTGGCATGGCACCTACACTAACAAAAGAATACCAAAGTGTGCACAATGTTTGCCAACCAACTCTGTATCATATGTTTCTTGCACTCTATCGAACACTTTTCTTCCGACACTTTTCCCTTCAAAACGTTTTAGGTTTAACGTAATTTGGCATGGTAAAAGAAATTTGAAATCAAAGACCTTTAATTCCAATGTCGTATCAACGACATTTGATCCCAATGTCTATACATGCACAATGTTTGCCATTGAACTCAGTATCATATTTACTTTGGCGATTTTAATTTAGCCTATATTTGATTTAGTATATGTTTCTTGCACTTGTCAAGCGCTTTTCTAAATATGTGAAGTCACGTACACTTACGAAATTTTTTTAAAATGTGTATAATGTTTGCTAACCAACTTCGTATAACTTTTTTCTTACGCTTTGTGAAGCAATTTCCTTCCGACAACTTTCCCTTTGAAGCGCTTTGGGTTTAACATAATTTGTCATGGTAAAAGACATTTGAAATTAAAGATCTTTAATCCCAATGTCGTATCAATGGCATTTGATCCTAATGACTATATATGCACAATGTTTACCAACCAACTCAGTATCATATGTTTCTTGCACTTTGTTAAGCACTTTTATTGTGTCACTTTTCCCTTCAAAGCATTTTAGTTCAATATAATTAGGCGTGGTAAAGGACATTTGAAACCAATGACCTTTAATTCCAATGTTGGGCAAACCAGTGCCGTGTCTAGGCATAAGGCCACATATTTACTTTGGCAAATTTGGTTTAGTCTATATTTGATTAAGCCTGTGTTTTTTGCATTTTGTCAAGAACTTTTCTTCCGACACCTTTCCCTTCAAAACGTTTTAGGTTTAACCTAAATAGGCATGGTAAAAGACATTTTACACCAAAGACCTTTAATCACAGTGCCTTGTCAATGACATCTGATTCCAATGTCTAAATATGCACAATGTTTCCCAATGTCGTGTCAATGACATTTGATCCCAATGTCGTTTCTATGCATGAGGCCACATATTTAATTTGGCAAATTTGGTTTACCCTATATTTGATTTAGCCTATGTTGCTTGCACTTTGTCAATCACTTTTCTTCTGATACCTTTTCTTTTAAAACGTATTTTGTTCAATATAATTAAGCCTGGTTAAAGACATTTGAAACCAAAGACTTTTGATCCTAATGCCGTGTTAAAAGCATCTGAACAAAACAACTACAAACAAACTCTGTGTCGTATGTTTTTTGTACTCTGTTAGACATTTTTCTTCCGATTCATTGTTCTTTAATATTAACAACCAAAATATAATTTGCCTGATTACCAAATACCACAAATGATTGCACTTTGAAATTGATGGAATTTGGGTAATTTCAACGGTTACTACCGTCATTAATGAGAGTAATAAAGGAGTTGAGAGGTTTAGTGGGTAGTTATTTTTAGGAAAATGTGTTTAATAATAGTTTAGTGGGAATCATGGCAGTTTGTTAACTATTAAAGTTCCGAAATTTAGAAGCCCATAGTTAAACACTTCCTCCGCCATTCACTAATCACTTTTTCGCAAACACAACCCTAGAAATCGCAAATTTCCTTCCCAAAATTGAATTTCCATCCCAAATTCCTGTTAATCCAAGGTTTACTTCTGAATCCGAGACTCCAACGTACAAGACCGGCGAATTTCGAGCTAGGTATAGGTAATTACCGATGAAATTCTTCCGGATTTGTTTAAATTTTTGTAATTTCCATTTTGGTTCGATTTTCCTTCGAAAATATGGTTAGAGACCGGGATTTGGGCAAAAGGCCCATCACTGCTGAAGGAGAAGAAGCTGAGAGGCCACAAGTTCTTTCTCCAGGTCATCGGCGTAAACAGCCGCTTGGTCGGATGCCACCTCTTAGCCACACTGCTACAGTTCCCAGTACGGAGGAAAGGGAACCTACAAGCGATTCTCCGATATCGGTTGTACCATTGGCATCAGCTAGACCATTTGCCTCTGTGACGTTCAGGGAGTGGGAAGAGCCTACTTCATTTGCAAGTGGTGCTGTGCATGGGCCTCGGTGTCTGCTAGAAGGTGCTAAAGAATGGTACAACCCTACTGAAAATTCGGGACTTGCGACTACTGCTCCGTACAAATGGTGGATTGTACAGAATGCCCGCCATCGCTTTGTCGAGCAAATCGAAATTTTTACGGGATTTATGAACAGGATGGGTACTGGTGCCGAATGCCAGTTTTAGAAGATAGAATCCACAGACCGCCGCCTAGGTATGTTGGAGTTTACATCAGGCAAATACAGTTAGGGCTGAGATTTCCTCTTCATCACTTCGTAACGAAAGTGTTGAATGGATACAACATTGCGTTGTGCCAGCTAATAACCCCGTTCAGCATCCGGCGGGTAATGACATTTTTATGGGTTGCCCTTTTTTATGGGTTTGACCCTAGCATACACGTATTTCGGCAATTACATAATTTGGTGTCGAACAGACAGTCTTCCGAACCTCATGGCCCTGGATGGTGGCGCATTGAAGCAAAACGAACTACTTTGACCACTTGGCCGAATGATACCTCGGATAAAGATTAGAGGGGTCAATGGATTTGGGTGAGGGCTCCGTCTGAAGAAGAGCATGTTAACTATTTTAGAGGGCCGAGACATTTGAGGATGCCTGATCCAAAAATGTCTGCTATCGGTCCTGATGAATTTTCGATCGAAGATAATGAGCTGCTAAAACTCTTTGCAAAAGTGGCTACGGGAAGACGGGGGCGAGAAAAATACATTCCGGCCACTTGGCTCCCTTTCTATCACTATATCTTCCAAGAGAAGATATTAGCTGCCGTCGGCCTCAGCCGAAAATACCAAGATGGTAAGAATCTCGGTTGGGGCCGAAGGCTCGTTCTTGTTTTTTTGTGTATTTGTTGAAATTGTTGTTGTTTGTTTTGTTATTTTTTTTTTTTTGACTTCTTTCATTTTGGATTTTCAGTGCTGTATTAGACGAACTGCGGCTTGAACTACAGACATCTGGGCATCAACACCGAAAGAAAAGTGACCAAGAGAAATCCTCAAATCACTCCTCCTTCCGATAGAGCCCTTACGCTGCGCGTGTCTCAGCTAGACATAGTCAGTTCAATTGAATACTCCAAGTAGAAGCCTTGGTACTTGAAACGTGACCCATTTTTTCTTTTGGGTCCTGAAAAGCAAATTCTAGCCACTGCTGCTACTGTTGAAGCCGGTATTTCTGAGTCTAACTCTGAGGCCGAGGACGATGCCAGTTTTGAAGAGGACGACTTGGTGAAAACTTCGGTGAGCACAAGCTTATCCTTTGCTCTGTTTTGCTTCAAATTTCTTCTAAGTATGAAACTTCAGTACATATGTTTCCCAATTTGTAAGCATGATGTTTCGGCTATGCCATGCATGTTGCATGTATTTTTCCTAATTTGAAAGAACTTTGCTAAGTATAGTATTTCGGATGCATGTTGTTTGCTGACTGCTCAGTCTGTGAGAACTTAAACAGCTATAAAACTTTGGTAGCCTTTCTCTTATGACTTGCTTGATTTGCGTAATTATAGTAGTCTTCCTATCTAAGTATAAAACTTCAGCACGTACGTTTCCAAAGTTATAAGCATGTTGTTTCGGCTTTGCTATGCATGTTGCATGTATCTTTCCTAAGTTGAAAGAACTTTGCTAAGTATAGTATTTTGGGTGCATGTTGTTTGCTGACTGCTCAACCTGTGAGAACTTAAACAACTATAGAATTTTGGTAGCCTTTCTCTTATGACTTGCTTGATATGCGTTTCTCTTGTGAGAACTTAAACAACTATAGAACTTTGGTAGTCTTCCTATCTATACATTGTTTTTTTTTTTTTTTGGATAATGCTAATACGTAATTCTCCACTCTCTTATGACTTGCTTGATTTGCGTAATTTTAGTAATCTTCCTAACTAGGTATGAAACTTCAGCACGTACGTTTCCCAATTTATAAGCATGTTGTTTCGGCTTCGCTATGCATGGCGCATATATCTTTCCTAATTTGAAAGAAATTTGCTAAGTATAGTCTTTCGGGTGCATATTGTTTGCTTACTGCTCAGCCTGTGAGAACTTAAACAACTATAGAATTTTGGTAGCCTTTCTCTTATGACTTGCTTGGTATGCCTTTCTCTTGTGAGAAGTTAAAAAACTATAAAACTATAGAACTTTGGTAGTCTTCCTATCTATACATTATTTTTGTTTTTTTTTTGGATTATGTTGATACGTACTTCTACACCATCTGAATCTTTTGTCGCAGAGTGACGAAGCAAAAGTAGAGGCACGACAAAAAGAGTCTTCATGGGATATCTCTTCTTCAGACAACAAAGTCGAAGGGATGGCTAGGAAGAGAAAGCCTAGGGTCGTTGTCAACCTAGGCCAATTTCCCTTAGAAGATACTTCTCCATCGCCGAAAAGGTCTCGGCGAAACGATGGTCCAGGGGAAGTGTCCATGGAGAAAACTCCATATCTTTCTTCTGCTCGGAACCCAGATGAAGAGGTCCAGCAGAAACCTCCTTCTCCGATGCCTCGAGACGATGGTCCAGGGAAAGTGTCCAAGGAGAAAATTTCAAATCCTTCTTCAGCTCGGAACCCAGATGAAGAGGTCCAGTAGAAACCTCCTTCTCCGATGCCTCATCTGTCTCAACATTCGACAACCCCTTTTGACGAAGAAATTCAAAGGCAGGCTGATGCCTTCATCACAA